TCCGCTGTTCCCCCGCACTCGTCGGTTGGGTGCGACACGGGGGGGGAGGCGGACAGTCGTAAGCACGAGGTTGTGGTCGGAGTCCTTGAAGTCGACAAGTTTGACGGAGACATTACGCACGAAACGACGGTCCGTCTGACGCATGAGGATGAAGTCGAGGCGGTACTTCTCCTCCCCCTTGTTGGAGCTCTGGAATGTGTGCTGCACTCCACCTTTCGGTGTCCGGAAGTAGGTGTTGGTCAGGGAGAGTTGGTTGTCTGATGCCAGTCCAAGGAGTCGTTCCCCGTTGTTGTTCATAATGTCGCGTCCGTACGCGCCCATAATCTTGGCATCGCAGCACCCGTCTCGCCTCCTACCAGTGTGTGCGTTGGCGTCCATTAGCACCGCGAGATGGTCACGGCTGTGAACTTCCCGGATCGCTGCGTCGAGAGCAGTCCAGAAGGAGTCCTTGGCGTAACATCACCGCCCGCGGTGGTGCGGACAGTTTCCGTGGGGGCGAACTGCAATGTTGGCTTTGGTGGGGCGTTCTCCTTCATTGTATGTCCACAGGCTCATTCTGACAGCACTCCAGACAGCAGTACGCTGTAGTCGACAAACATTCATTTTGGTTAAATGCGGGACAAGGGGGGTGATGCTGCTTCTGTAGTCGATTTGTAGTGTGTGGGCGTGTAGTTCAGTTGTGAACACGCAAGCGTGCTGCAGGGATTGCAGGTGTACCTCCTTGGGCTTGCGTACCCTTTCCNAACATCACCGCCCGCGGTGGTGCGGACAGTTTCCGTGGGGGCGAACTGCAATGTTGGCTTTGGTGGGGCGTTCTCCTTCATTGTATGTCCACAGGCTCATTCTGACAGCACTCCAGACAGCAGTACGCTGTAGTCGACAAACATTCATTTTGGTTAAATGCGGGACAAGGGGGGTGATGCTGCTTCTGTAGTCGATTTGTAGTGTGTGGGCGTGTAGTTCAGTTGTGAACACGCAAGCGTGCTGCAGGGATTGCAGGTGTACCTCCTTGGGCTTGCGTACCCTTTCCTTGCTAATAGTGTGTGTGATCTTTTGATCATCTGATGGCTCTAGGATTTTTTGTGACCACGGACCGAGTCTTTACTAGATTTTGGGATTACAGCTGCAGTAACAACTGACACGATTAATGTGAAGAAATACAACAACAACAATAACAACAACAACAACAACCCCACCACGAAAGTTACTCCACAGGTGCGGCTAATTTGTAGACGCATTTTCATCAGCCTCGGGCTAATGCACTCCACCGTCCTACCTTCCTCGCCCACACTCTCCCACATGGCCTCCTTGATCGCTATGCCCACACCGTGTACGCCCCTCTCGTCCTTGGTGCCGGCACGGGCGCCACTCCAGATGACCACGTACCCGTCGTGTGCAATTGAACCTTGCCCCTCTTGTCGGGTCTCCTGCAGTCTTATCACATCACAGCCGGTCGCGGAACAAATCTGCCTGAACGTCATCACGTTTTGACCGATGGGGTCCCTACCGCTGTAGGCGAGCGTGCGTACGTTGAACGTGCCGAACGATAGGTCACCCTCTCGTGCCTTCTTCTTCGCAGCCGCCTTGACGGCCGCTGCGGTCTCGTGTCTCTCTCGATCCGCCTTGCGTTGCGGGTGTGCTTTCTTCCTTATTTCCCAAGCGGCGAATTTCCTCGCATCAATCCATCTCTGCAGAGCTCGGTTCTTGCCTGTGGTGTGTGTGTTGTGTGTTGTGTTTTTTTTGTTTGTTTTTCTCCCATAATTGGACTCTGTCGTCTGCCCCTCTGGCCATTATCCTCCACTTCTACTAGCTAGACGACCCAATCGGGGTCACATAGGAGGGGGGGGTTGGACCCCCTCCTGCGGTTCAAGCCTGAGGTATTTTTATCGCGAGAAGGGTACAGCAATCCCTTCCCTCGCGACTTACGAAGTCGATTATGGTTTACTATTTAACAAACGAGCAGCGCGTCGCTTTCATCCTAGACCAGGATTTATTTAGTGAGAAAAAACTCTCTCTGCCGGGACTCGAACCCATGACCTNTTGCAGCTCGCCGCTTTCATCCTGGACCAGGATTTATTTAGTGAGAAAAGATCTCTCTCTGCCGGGACTCGAACCCATGACCTGGCCCTTAGCAGGCTGCGAGGCTAACCACCAGACCACCGGGGCTACCGGTGTGTGTTTCGTTGTATTTATTATGGCGACAGTCCCCCATTGTTTCGTCGTGAGACGTGTATTACACTTTTTCTTTTTTTTTTTACTGCCTGTGGTGCGTTTGGTACGGTACCGGAAATTTTCGGTAAGGTATTTACATCGTACCGAACATACCGAACACTTCGGTAAGATATTGAAGTCCATACCGAACGTACCGGGATTTTCGGCAAGGTATTGAAGTCCATACCGAACGTACCGAGCATCCCGGTATGGTATGACAGTTCAAACCGGTACCGTGCCGAACATATCGGTTTTTGTACCGAACGTACTGAACACTTCGGTAAGGTATTGAAGTCCATACCGAACGTACCGGTATTTTCGGTAAGGCTTTCAAGTCCATACCGAACGTACGGAGCATCCCCGGTATGGTATGGCAGTACATACCGGTACCGTACCGAACATCTCGGTATTTGTACCGAACGTACCGAAAACTTCGGAAAGGTATTCAAGTCCATACCGAACGTACCGGTATGTTCGGTAAGGTATTGAAGTCCGTACCGAACACTTCGGTAAGGTATTCAAGTCCATACCGAACGTACCGGTATGTTCGGTAAGGTATTGAAGTCCGTACCGAACACTTCGGTAAGGTATTCAAGTCCATACCGAACGTACCGAACATCTCGGTACCGGAATACCGGACGTATAATACCGCTTGTACGTACCTTACCAAACACACCCTTGAAAATTTACGAAATATGCGGATGAAAGCGAAATATAGCTGACAAGCTCTCGTGAGAACCAAACTTCGATGTTAGCACCGTTGACGAGGGAATGGGACGGCTGGACCCTTCTCGCGATAAAAACTAAATTCATCACGCACCGCAGGAGGAAGGTGGGGCATGGAAAGAAATAAAAAGAAGAAAAAAGCCCTGGTGTTTTCCCCCTCCTGTGTGACCCTGGATGGTTGTAGGTGTACGAACAAATACACTGAAGAGTGTAGTACTCTACATACATACGCTGAAGAGTGTCATACACGTCTCACCACGAAAAATGGGGGGACTGTCGCCATACACAATAAATAGGACGAAAACACAACACACTCACTTAACGCACTATTGCGTTGACTAGAGTACAGTATCCAAAGCTGTTCTAAACGCACCGTTGCGCTTAGCACTACCGAGAGCCATACACAAACCCCGATAATAGGCCTTACACTGTACTGAAATACTGGAAAGTACGTTTAGTACGTACTGTACTAAATCAACCCTTGGCCTATCACGCCTGTGCAATACCACACCCTTCTTTCAAGTGTGCGGCAGCAGCGGTTCATCTCTACAAGCAGTCTATCACACCCCCTCATTTATCACACCCCAAAGAACACAATGTGGCTGTTCGGACGTGCTATCACACCCCCCTTTGTCATACCCCCTCATTTATCACACCCCCAAACACACGCTGTGGGTTTTCGGACGCGCTATCACACCCCCTCAGGGGCCCCTGCGAGCTGCACTTTTATCACCCGGGGTACATAAGATAACACACACCCCACAGGATACCACACCGGGTGACAGTATTTTCAAACTCCAAAATGCTATCACTGGGGTGTGTTATCTTGTGTCATATACGGCAGTCAGCGCTGACTATTCAGTCTACCAGTCTAATGGTTTGATTTCGGCTTCTATGTATCTCTGATATCAACGTGCAAGAGGAGAATAGGGACACAACTTGTGGCGGCACAGGAGTCACATCAGACACCGTCGTCATTGCTCTCACGCTCAAGAGCCACTTGTATCGAGGTACGAAAGACTTGACGTGGTGCGATGGCGAACAAGCCAAAAACAAAAAAATATATGAACTGATGTAGACACACCGACCGACCTGTACATTACATGAATGGCAAGCCAGGGCCAACGATCACAACCGCCCCCACCGTGTACAAGTAGGAACAACAAAACTTGCAGATGGATCATAGCAAGACTGGCGACAACAGACCTCCGCGCCCCCCTCCCGCTGCGCCCCCCTCAAACCCACAAAAAAAGCAAAACAGTCACAGCGACTGGGTGGCCTAACAGAGGGGGCTGATTGAACAGAGTCCGGTCATACAATCTCGCGGACCACCACACAGCCGCGGGACGGCCCGACGCATCGTCTTCTTCACCCACTCCAAACCAACACCGCAGCAGCAGCAGCAGCAGCAGCGTTGGTCGAAAACTCCACTAAAAACCCTCCTCCCCCTGGAAAGCAATTCGGCACAACACAGCCCACAGAAAATCGTAAAACAAAGGACATGCACCATTTTCACGGACCACGGACACCCACACCTCAAAGCAAAAAACGAAATTCCCGCCGCGACCTCCATCCCTATCGCCTGTTCGCCGAGAATGTTACCCCTGGCAGGGTTTACAACAAACAACGTGAAGAAACGGGGAGCAGGGTAGAGGGTCTAACTACACCAAGTCGACCGCTCTCGACGAGTGCGAGTGCGAATGTCCGTGCCCAGAACATTGTCCGTGAGAACGCCGATCGTGTTCTAACCCGGCCCTACCGCCCGCCCCCCGTTCCGCCTCGTGTCCACCACCATCGCTCTCAACCCCGCACAACTGCCTCCCCGTCTCCCGATTTCTCTTCGGCGGCGTCCCCTCGGTTGCGCCGCCGCGCGCCGCGTCATCTCTATGCCGCAGCACCACTTCCACCGTGTTTCGGCCGATGTTATGGCTCCCCAACACTAGCTTCACGGCCTCAACCAAGCCCGTTGCCCCACCTCGCCTCGTCTGCGCTGCCCCCACCCCGCCATTTCCCAACCTTTCTGCCGATTTTGTCGAGGCGCCGCCGACTTCGGGGTCGGCGACGATTGTGACCGCGGCCACGAACGGTTCCTCGCTGTTGAGTTGGGTCACGCTTAGGCTCTGGATCTTGGATATTCCTGGCACCTGTCGGGGTGGGCGAACGGCGGCAGCCAGCAGCGGCCATCGAGCACAGTAGGAGGCGTGAGGTGGGCATGGCCTCTCTGGAAACGGTCGAACGATGATGCGTGTGGCGGCTTGCTGTGCCCAGGAGATGGCCCAGCCAGGAGCAAACGCATGTGGGGGTGACGATAGTGCAAAGAATCTTCGCACGGGGTGGCGGCACCGCAACAGGAAGGGACTACCACGGCAGAGATAATACATGGTAGCCCGTTAGACCTTCGCGTACACCTCTTCCACACCCAAGTTCCCGCGGCGGGGGGAGCGGCAGACTACACAGTATACCCCTCTCCCTGATTGGAGCCCAAATCCGCAACCTTTTCGCGCTACCCAAACGCGTGTGCGGAAGCGGGCTGTTTTCCCTGCAGATACCGCAGACACCCTAACTCCAACCAGCACCGCTCAAAAGCAACGCTCTGGACTAGGTAAAAAGTGATCTCATTTCAAGAGAGGCGCTCGATCCGAGCCGAGCTGCCGTGGCCTTCACCTTTAAGAGTTCCTTTCTCAGACGTGGCAGGTCCGCGCTGCGGGGAGTCCCCTCCAGGAGAACATGGGCACACTCCTGGACGGAGCGGGCGCGAAAAGGGTCACGACGGCAGACAGCAATACCGAGGGTATGTTGGGGGTATCAGGCACGGTTAATTGAGACACCTGGAATCGACACAATCTGCGCATGGAGACGCATGCAGAGCAGAGCAACCGTAGCCTAGCGAGGTGTGCACATCACAGACAGCGTGTGTGAATATCGCGCCATCTCCTCTGCATGTGTGTGGGATACGCATGACGTGACCTGAAAGATGCTAACTGTCAATTTGCGTCTACTGCTGTGAGTAGTATTTTGTCAGCCACTATCAGGTAAAATACTACCGTCGCATACGTTTCGGCGATTACGACTTCCACACTCCCCGCGTAATTGGAGGCTAACAGCAAATAACACAGGAGCAGCTGACTGGGACCGCGGAGAACGATTCCGCTGTCAGAAGCTGTCCCGCGGGTAGCAAGTTGCAACCTGGCTGTCGACTTCATGCCTGCGCGACCGGAAGAGCGCAGCAGCCACTCGACTGCCGGAGCGCTGCCGCGCGGGACTGTCAAACGGGACTTTTACTACCCTACCTTCACGACCGGAAGAGCGCAGTAGACGATGAAGACCGACAGGGCGATGCTCGTCAGCGGGTCGAGGTAGTCCGTCCAATCTACGCCAGACCTGCCGAAAATGAACGCAACGACGCCTGACGCGGTGCGGTAGGGGGGGACCGGTGATTGGCGACGTTGGGAACAGAGGAGGGGGGCACAAGTCCCAGAATTATCAGGATCGGCTACAGTAGTTGTAGTCATGTTATGCGATGTTGTGCAAATAATATTACTTTCGAAGTAACAAGGTCTTGGCGTTCCACAATCCGGGATACTCGAGGGTACGTGTTTGCACACTATCACGTCTGGCGTGCCGAAGTGGAAGAAGCCACACCTATGGGTGAGGCGCATCCCACGACACTCGTATTGCCGTTTGAAACCCCTGACTCCCGGTCTAAAACCTTCGGCAAAATCCCCACCCAGGTTCATCTCCCTCTAAATGCCTTTCCCCCCGCCGGGGTTTCTTCTTGAACTCACCCTGAGCGCAAACGACACCAGAAGAAACCGCATCCGCGATGGCGTGCACCAACACCGCCATCAGGTTCATGCTATGCCCGTGCCCCTTGCAACCCCCGCCCCCGTCAGCGGGCCCGTGCGAGTGCGAGCAGCCGTCGCCGTCGCCGCTGTCCACATCATCGTGGTGATGCCCGTGGACATGGTGCTCGTGCCCATGGCTCTCCCCGGAACAGCCGCCGCCGACTGCCGCGGCACCGTGCTTGCCATGGACCTTCTTCATCTCGGGCCCGTCATTGTCACCGTGCCCATTCGCGTGGGCGTAGGAGCCCCCGTTCTGCCCACCATGGCTGCAGCAAGCATCGCCGTGACCGTTGCCGGGATCCTCCTCGTCCCGGTGCCCGTTCGCATGCCCGTGGTGCCCGTTCGCATGATGGTGGTGCCCCTCGTGCGAGTGCGAGCAGGCGTGTCCTCCCTCCCCCCCGCTGCCGCTGCTGCTGCCGCCGCCGCCGTTGCCGGACAACAAAGCCTCCCGGGCGACGGCGGTGTTGTTAAGGCTCACGCGTCCGATGGGATCGGAACCGGCCAGGATGACGGAGACTTCCTCGCCATCATCGCCCCCGCAAGCCGACGGAGATACCGCCGTCGGTGGCACGTCGTAACGGTCGACAAGGGTAAGCAAGCCCACAGAATCTAGCTTCACGGGGGCTTCGTGTCTGCGTGGCACGTGGAGGGGTGGGGGGTGGGGGTGGGGTGCTCGTTTGGTTGCTGCCGGTCGTCGTCGAATTTTCACCACGAAACCACGCCACACACAAATAGAAGGGGGGCATTCTTGTTGTGGCAATGTTACCAGTGTTGTTATCCGGCTGGGGTCAAAGTGCATGCTGCATCTTGGACGATTCAATCTAAGTTCATACGAAACCCAAAACACGCTATTTTCAATGAGGGGACCCCAGATAACAAAGCAACACGCGCCCCTCCCCCCTGTGTCACGAAGGAGAACGACATCAACGGACAACGAAAATAAAGGTAAAGCCCCACAGCACGTCTCTACTCTCCGTTCGTTCAACCGCACTCCCACGGCCTCGACTTGAGAAAAAAATCACCCGTACGCACAACCCTTTCTCACGGGCTTCCATACCGTACCATGGCTGTTGGAGGGGACGTCTTTAGCGACCTGGAGTATTCGCATTGGTGAACCGGTTTGAGCCGGGTTCGAGATGCGAATCAAAAGAATCACACCCGCTCGCTTGTTTTGATCTTTATCTGGAGAGTGGCTCAGCCTTCCCCATAACGTCCCCTCACGGGGTCCCAGATCATGCATTTTCTTTGACCAACCGCACTGCGACCGGTGTCTCTCGATCGGTCAGCCGGTTAGCGCGGGCGATGCTAAAAGTAAAAAACACACGCCGCCACGCACCCATGATCATGGCTGTGGCTGTGCGCCGCCAGGAAACCCCCGCAGTGGGTGTCGTGCGACTGGCCGTCCTCCCCTGGGAACCAGAAGAACAACACTCCGACCAAGTTGATCACCACCCCCCCGAAAGCCAACGAGATATACAGCCATCCATCCGTCACCTCCTGTGGCACGATCAGTCTCGGGATGGCCGAGAGAATGATCTGAGCGGGGGGAGGGGGGGGGGGGGGGGGGGGG